GTTGAGCATGCCCTTCTTGGTTCGACATGCTGTAAGATCAGATGACCATGTCCAGATGGCTAATGATTATCAAGCCTCGCGTTTAAAGCCGACATGGAGGTTACTCTCTGCAGATTGCATAACATTTCCTGTCCGAGGACCCAAATACCTTTGGAATATTTTTGATTCTGGTCAAAACAGAAAAGAAAATACCTGCTGCCTGTGGTTCTGGTGGAGGCTGCAGCTCTGGGCCTGCAGTCGGCCTTCGCTCCTCATCCTCTTCAGCAGCGCGCCGCCCATGCAAACCCGGGCCGAAGCGAGCTATTCGCCCTATTCGGGTTCGGATCGCTTAATATATGCGAGCGAGTGCTGCCCACGCTCCTCTCCGGTGGACAGTCAGAGTCCGTTTACCTGCTGTTGATAATTAGGCAACTAGGTGGACCTAGCTCGTCTAATATTTAGAGGTGATGAAGCCAGCTCTGGTTTCAGCACCATTCAGACTGAATAATCCGGGTGAAATCCATCCGGGTCGGAGCTGCTCAGCGGGAGCCCAGAGCCTCTCCGAGCCTCGCGTGGTTTCCACCTGCTGAAACCGGAGCCGCGGCTCTGCCTGAGGACACACCGGCGTGTATAGGAGACGAGTGTCCCGCTATGAATATTTAAAAAACTCATTTGGTTGTTTGGTGCTGCAGCCTGATGCAGCCTGATGGAGGCTGCGGAGCAGGGGCCAGGGAGGATCCGATGGAATCGGGCAGGATGAAACAATAATGATGTCTGGAAGGTGGTCAATGGGTAATTTCGTTATATTCTTGGAAATAAACAGACGTATGCCGTTTTTAAAACCACCTTTTCTCATTTATGTCGGACTTTTCAGAGTCTAAATGTTTAAATTCAACCAAATCTCCATAATGAAATCCAGACAAGTAGCTGTGGACTCTAAAATTATTAAAAACGTAAAAGTAATTTCTGAAATAGACTTTTATGAGGTTTGAAGCAAACGTTGCGAAAACAGGAAGTAGAAAATAAAAGCAAGGTCTGTGTTCTTTCTGCAGATCCAGGAATGATCCGTGGTTGCAGGCTTTTATTTTGGAAGACTTTTTCCATTTTACAGCAAACGGACTCAAATGCTAGCTAAATATTTACATGCACATTCTTTAGAGTTTAGTAATAAAGCTTAATGCATTTAGTTTTGATAAATGCATATTTTGAGAATAGATATATTTTTAAGCTACACAACCGTGCCCCGTGGAGTAAATGTCTAAATATGAATTGATGACTACATTTCTAAGTCAAACAAAGATAATTAAAGCAACAAATCTGGATTATTTTTATTAAAGCATTCTATAAAAAACAATGAAATAAAAAAAATAATCTTATTCAATGAAGATGTCAGGCTGAGACTTAACTGTCTGTTTAGTCAAAATTGCTGATTAAAATGCAACAAAAACCAAAAGCACTGCAAAATGAATAACAAACCAGAAAAATAAATAACTTCATATTTTCCAAGCATAACAGAAGTTACGCTATAGGCTGAGCAGACAAAAGAATAAACACTAAAACCTTAATGGTAGCTGATAGATTAGATTAAATCTAGGCTAGCTGCACATTTGTGTTGATCAGCATTTAAAAGAAAATCTGAATTAGTGATATTTTACATTACAAAAACCTGATGTCATCTCCTCTCTACTTCCTGGTAGCGAAGGAGCAGTTGGAGGAGTTGGGCGTGTTAATCAGGGGTTCATCTATAAGTAAAGACCCAACGGTCAATGTTCTGCCTCGTGCAACCATCACTGTGAAACAGAGCTCGTAATCTGAGAGAACCGATCTACTGCCACCAGACCCCAGCCCGAGCAACCCAACACCCAGCCATGACATGGCTGTCAAATCCCAATAGTGACATTTGACTCATTTGACACATAAAAGCACCAATGGCTTCAACTTTAAAGAAACACATTGAATCTGTGAACGCCTCTGACACATCAGTTGCTAAAAGCTTTGATTGATCAAACTTTGCAGCAGACAGTTCATGAGCCTAATGTGGAGCCTCAGGGCTTCATATTGCCTTAAAAGGTTACAGTGGCTCAGGACACCTGACCACCCTGTTGAGTCTGGACCAATCAGACAGCTGCTTTATGGCTTTGGCATTACGTCATGGAGGCCCAGTCAGTGTGGAGCAACGCACTGCGGATAAAACTGAAGCTTTAAATATTTCATTGAGCTTCTCGGGTTGCTGGACTTCTGGAGGTCAGGCCTGTGGAGAGACAGCCTTGTCATCTCCTCCCTGCATCCCTCCATCCTCTCCTGATGCAGGAAAACCTGAGTCTGCAATGGAAACTGAAACAAAGATATTTAGAGAATTTTGTTGCATTTACGGAAAATTGCACGTAAACACTGCACCAATGTTAAGGGGAACAGTAGGATTACTTTGGCTAGATGTGCAATGTTTGTTATAGATTTCAGTTGCAATCGGCTAGAGTTTACACATCGTCAGTTGGTGCCCATACACACTCAGTCCTCTGAGCAACATGGCCATGATGAGGACCCTCTGAGGACACACTGGAGCTTGTGTCCTCACACTGGATGGTGGGGAAGAGATGTGTCAAATAACTTCCTTTTGTAGCCCAGAGAAATGATCAAAATCTTCTGCCGGATGTTTTTCTCTTCCTTTTTACATGATGAGAACGGATGACACAACACAATAAAAACAGAAACAAATTGTGTCCTTTTGAGCTATATTTACATAAGGTCATTTCACATCTCTGTGTTGCAGCTGCAATAAGACAAACAGGAAGAGAGCAGATTGCTGCGTGACAGAATACATTTTTCAGTGGAGTGAGGATTAAACAGCCTTATGTCACAGCATTTACCTCCCCCTGCTGTGATTATAGGTGTGTGTGTGTGTGTGTGTGTGTGTGTGTGTGTGTGTGTGTGTGTGTGTGTGTGTGTGTGTGTGTGTGTGTGTGTGTGTGTTTCATTTGAAGCTGGGGGATGTAGCGCCATCATCTGGTTTCACTGCATTCGGCTTTAAATGTTCAAACCACCTGCACACCAAGGTTGAGCTCGTGTTCTTACTCCTTCAAAATAAAAGCACAATTGCTCCATTGTAAGGGACCGGGATATGATTTGATCTGCTGAAATAGATTTATTTCAACAAAAGGCTGACATCTAGAGCTAAAAGTAAAACTGAAATAATACACATCATGTCTAAGCCCTAAAACTGGGGTGATTATGTGGTTCTCTGGTTTCAGAGAACGATGCAACAGCGACATCTTGTGGAGGGAGAAAGGTGGTTACCACATCTACAAAAAGGGACAGCTAGAGCACTCCTGCAATTATACATTCAGATGGCAGTACTGGGAGTAATTTGAAGCTTCGTTCATGATTCTTAAAAATATCAAAAATCATAGGATGGAAAGTCACCAGCCCTTATAAATTAAACCGAACTACTTCTGTTTAAAAACACACACACATTTAAACTGGGCTGCAATTTTCTGAGGAAAATGTATCATCAGTGAAAACTGGCAGTTTATGAACTATTTTCTGAATGTCTGCATGCATAATAACACACTCACCTAAAGGATCATTAGGAACACCTGTCCAGCTTCTCCTTAATGCAATTATCTAATCAACCAATCACATGGCAGTTGCTTCAATGCATTTAGGGGTGTGGTCCTAGTCATGACAATCTCCTGAACTCCAAACTGAATGTCAGAATGGGAAAGAAAGGTGATTTAAGCAATTTTGAGCGTGGCATGTTTGTTGGTGCCAGACGGGCCAGTCTGAGTATTTGACCATCTGATCAGTTACTGGGATTTTCACCCACAACCATTTCTAGGGTTTACAATGAATGGTGTGAGAAGGGAAACACATCCAGTATGCAGCAGTCCTGTGGGCCAAAATGCCTTGTTGATGCTAGAGGTCAGAGGAGAATGTGCCGACTGATTCAAGCTGATGGAAGAGCAACTTTGACTGAAATAACCACTCGTTACAACCGAAGAATGCAGCAAAGCATTTGTGAAGCCACAACACACACAGCCTTGAGGCGGAAGGGCTACAACAGCAGAAGACCCCACTGGGTACCACTCATCTCCACTACAAATAGGAAAAAGAGGCTACAATTTGCACCGGCTCACTAAAACTGGACATTTGAAGACTGAAAAATGTTGCCTGGTCTGATGAGTCTCAATTTCTGTTGAGACGTTCAAATGGTAGAGTCAGAATTTGGTGTAAACAGAATAAGAACATGGATCCATCATGCCTTGTTACCACTGTGCAGGCTGGTGGTGGTGGTGGTGTAATGGTGTGGGGGATGTTTACTTTAGGCCCCTTAGTGCCAATTGGGCATGGTTGAAATGCCACGAGCCACCTGAGCAATGTGTCTGACCATGTCCATCCCTTCATGACCACCATGTACCCATCCTCTGATGGCTACTTCCAGCAGGATAATGCACCATGTCATAAAGCTCCAATCATTTCTAATTGGTTTCTTGAACACGACAATGAGTTCACTGTACTACAACGGCCCCCACAGTCACCAGATCTCAACCCGATAGAGCATCTTTGGGATGTGGTGGAACGGGAGCTTCGTGCCCTGGATATGCATCCCACAAATCTCCATCAACTGCAAGATGCTATCCTATCAATATGGGCCAACATTTCTACAGAATGCTTTCAGCACCGTGTTGAATCAACGCCACGTAGAATTAAGGCGTTTCTGACGGTGAAAGGGGGCCGAACACCGTATTAGTATGCTGCTCCTAATAATCCTTTAGGTGAGTGCATGTCACTACGTTCCCCACAGGTTAATTAGAGAGAATCTATTTCATGTGAATCTGCAGCACCTTTTTCAGATGTTTAGGAGCACAAAACCTGTTTTCCTGTGGTGAAACACCTGCAATAATACCCGATAGGTCACCAAAGGAAAAATAAACAAAACTAGCTGAAGTGCACCCCCCCCCCACACACACACACACACACACACACAGGTCAAACACGAGAGAATAATCAGCCAAACACACGTGTACACGTTGAATGTTTTATTAAAAAAGAAGTTATAACAGTTTATTTTATACACAACTATTTATGAGATTATAAGCCTATTAACAGAGAGCATTTGTCTTTTTGACAAGCATGCCCACTTCACGATGAAAAACAAAATGAAATAAAATTCAGAAGGGCAAGTAAGAGAATAAAATGAAATAAGATCAATATTGGACTTTTTTCCAACAAAGTTTTTGACTTTTTAAAACCCTCAAGTATCACACAATAGGAAAAACTGCCAAGATTCGTGCCGAGTGTGCTTGCTTAATGTGCCGAGGATGGCTGTGATAAGTGACCGTTTCACACAAGAACCAGACTGAATGGGAGGCGTGAGGTCCGACTCCACACCTGAAGCATGCAACTGATTAATGAGACGCAGTTAACACATAAATGTCATGATTTTTTCTTATTTGATCTTTAGAGGTGATGATTAGTAATCATCTCCTCTGTGTATTTATCACAGACCAGACTTTCGTCTCAACATCCCAAAAATGTTGTGTGATCTGAGTTTGTTGTTTATTGAACCAAATCTGCATCCAAGCTCTAAAACTCAGCTTTTAAAATGTCGTCTTTGATCTCAACATAGAACCGACATGGTGAAAACCAAAAAGAGCAGAAAATTAACATCTTTTCATTAGAATTCAAGTATTAACAATGCATAATTATGTTATTGGTTGTTTTCTTCTATTGTTGAGCAAATAATCTAATAGTAAACAGGAATGGGTCCTAAAGTAATAAAAAAGCACCACTAAGAGCAACGTCAGGCCATTGTGGGGTTTATCATTAATTTATTTCTCACCAGATGCAAAAATGTTGAAAACAAACCAAAAAGTATGAATTTGCACCAAAATAAAAACCTTTTACAAATAAATTTGGGTAAATCTGAGATTTTCACATCCCATTCCAACTCAGATAAACCACATTTTCAGCACTTTAGTACAATAGTAAACACATTGTAATTAAAACAAGGTGTCTGAGCAAAATGTTCTCCTGAGTGGGAATTTAGTGAGCTACGGGCTACAAAAGAGGTGCTTTAAAACTAAAATGGAAAACAAAACTTTTTGTTTTTTCTGTATCACTTAAACATTTACAGGCAGCTCAGAGGAAAAAAGGTGGAATCCTTTATTTGTCTGTCCTAGAATACCTTAAAAAGGAGCGTTTACTCTTCTCTTTAAGACGTATGATCTTTTAAAACACCAGTTATCAGATGATTTGGAACAAAAGGGCAGTCTGCATTCAAAAGTGTCGACGACTAAAGGAAATCTATCTGATGATGGAAAGGACTGAGCCACAACCTCTGGTATCTGTACAAGATCGATCTTCACTACAACCCAAACATCCTCCTATTTTTGAAATCACTTGCACGCAAACTGCACAACTCTTGGAAGAGAACAAGTGGGCGTGTCTACGGCGCATCACACAAAAGGCTAAAATCAGATGAGCTCTGAATCCTTCAGCAAGGCTGATCTAGAGAACTAACTGCAATATCGGCCATAAATGGAGCCCAGAATGAACTATCAAGAAACACTGCAGCTCGACAAAATGCTGCATGGCTTCCAGCCTTTTGGGTAAAACTGCTCATCACTATGCAAAAACAAGCAAAATATGCTTTGAATCTGAGCCACAAAAGTCTAACGATCCTCCATGAGCTCGAAAGAAAACTTCCAGTCAGCCCTGGGCAGTTTGTTTTAAACTGATGTCAAATAACAGTCAAATTGCACAGAAAGAATCAGTTAAATTAAGATGTGATCTAAAACAATGCGCTGTTTGTAAACCTCCATGGCTTCTTGTTTTGAGAATTCCTCACTGACCCTTTTCTGATGAGGCACAGAAGAGCAAGATGAGATCAGAGGTGATCAGGTGCATCTTCCATTTGGGTTCACAATCTGCCACTAAGTGAGTCTTACTGAACTCCGTCGTGTTGATACATTTCAAGGGTTTCTAGGTAGTTTCATTGCAATTTCTGCCCCAAAGAGAGTTAAAAAGGTCAGTATTGTGGCCTGAACACTGAAATTCGCATGAGGCTACAGGTGTCTTGTCACCGAACGTTACACACACACGCACACACACAAAATGCCTCGACCCCCCCATCAGGGAAAATTTAAAGAATACAATAAAAGTTTGGGACAAAAATAAATCTTCAGTTTTCTTTCCACTTTGATGATAAAGAAGAAATGAACTCCTCACTATTTTTTTCCTAATTCTCAACCTGGTGATCTAAACCGGTTTTGGCAAAAGTAGACAGTGGAGGAAGTCACGTTGCATACCACAGGTCGGACCTATATACAGGGCATGCACTGGAGCAAATTCCTAGCAGCAGTGGAATGTGAGGAGGACCGATACGGAGCTAACCTGCATGTAGAGACAAAAATCACTCCTCTTTCACTTCCTTCCACGACCTGACAACCATGAAAGCACCCTGGCTGCTTTGCATGGAGTTTAAAATGAATGCTATTTATTTTTTAATAAGGTGAACCAGCAAAATGTAGGTTTCCTCTGAATTAATCGACTTTTTCAAAACATAAAATCTTTTAACAGACTATAAAACTGATACAACGCGGCGACTAAAGAATAGCTCCTGTTTACTAAAGTTTCCTCAATAGCATACGAACATGAACAGATGTTTTCACTGCCTGTGTGCACTAAATGTACTCCAAAATATCCCAGAGTAACCATCACATTATCACCGATTCTGTCCCGAGATGTGTGTTCGTTTATTTTCCCAAAATCTGTTTGTTGTTTTCACTCTTGGCAGGATGATCCAGTGGCTCAGCAAAGAGTAAGAAAAGTAACGTAACATCCAAAGTAGCACCTAAACCAGATAAGTCCTAATTATTCCTGACATGTCTCTGAAAATATAGTAATAAAGATATGTATAGTTGGTATTCTGGGTGGATTTATGAGTGTGCATTTGTTTTAGCTGTGCTACATCGTCTGGTACGCGATGATGCGCCTTAAAATAGAACTTAAGAAAATTACTTTGTCTTATTTTCCAACAGCAACACAAGAGACGAGCAAAAAACAGGACAAAACTCTGGTTTCTCCTATGTAATTCACAAGAATCCACAATGCAAACGTGGAAACAGCCAGCCAGAACCAGGAGCCTCTAAGCAGTGACACAAGCACAGCAGAGAGGGAGCATTCTGAAAGATTTTAAAACAGGCAAGCAAAGCTCACCAGGTTTGAGTTTGAAGAATACGTGGGTTTGCAACTATCCAAATTCAAACACCGGAGTGCTGTAAATCATAGAAGGAAATCTGGAAATTAAACATTTTGGGAAATGAACAACATCAAACAGATGCAGAGATGACAGCGAGAGGATATGGATGCAATCGCTATGACAACTGTGTGAGACATTAACAACTAGAGAGGAAAGGGTGTCTGCCAAACACACCAAAGGCTATATATATCCATAAAAATCCTTGTTTTAGTAGTAATAATAAAAATAAAAAAAATCAACTTGTTTAAATATGAATATTATAAGTCTGCTTTCTTTTCATAGTTAGGAAATCAAATATAGTCTCTGTGAGGGGTTAAAGGAGGGGGTTGGTGGGACGGGGGAGCCCTCCTATTACTACAACTCCATGTCTTGGGCTTCATCTTCTGAGAAATCAGACATGGAGCTTTCGGATGAAGAGTCTCCGGCACCCTCTTCCTGCTCCTTCAGAGCCTCCTCTGTTGCATATTTCTGGATGTACTCTGGGGAAGAGAATATAGAATCAAAAACAACACAAAAAACAAGTGTGTCTTAGTATCCAACATGTCGCTATCAAAGTCAAACCTTTGATTTTCTGCTTGTACTCCTCTGGCCGGTGAAGGTACATGGCAGCTGCATCTCCATTCAAAGGATCGATGGGGTTTGGGTAAGCCAGCAGCTGGGGTAGAAACGACTCAAAGATGTTGGTCAGATCTGAGAATACATAAAATAAATAAATAAAACCAGCTGGTCAAAGATAATTCACCAAAAGACAGAGTATAAGTGCATGTACCTGTTACAAGATCACAGATTTAAAACTGATGAAAACGTTTAGAAAACTTGCAGTACCCCTTTCCTCCCCCGGGTGTCACTGTTGGGTCCATTCAAACCAGGAAAATAAACATTCTCTTTTCTTTGTTGTACATCAATGTGATGTACTAAAGATAAAGGTGGTTGTTTTTGTTCCCTTTCTTTTAGGGGAAAAATCACTGCAAAATTCCTGGTTGGTAGGCAATAATAATAGTAATAATAATAATAATAATAATAAAAAGGTAAAAACTACGCTATTTAAAAATTAAAACAACGGATGGATTACACAGAACAAACCTACAAAAGGAGATGGGCCTTTTCTTTGGGATGTTTGTCCAATCCGATTTCATTTAAAAACACTGAACGTCTGAAACCTTAAACCAGGGGTTGTCAGTTCTGGTTCTGGAAGGCTGGTATCCAGCAACAGCTACCTTCTTCAGCAGCTCATCAGGATCTGAATACTGGGTAGCTGTTAATCACCTGGGGTCTCACTTTTCAAACATTGTGTAGAATCCTTACTAAAACCGTCCTTAAGCTCAGCAAAAAAAAGCACTTACGCCAAGCAGGTTTGTGATCTATCAAACATGGAGTACGCACAGCTGCACGCAATCTCCGCTTCATAAATCGGAGACTAATGAGAATGTTTCTCAGCTGCATTTTAGTCACATCCCGCCCTCACCACGCCCACTTATTGCCATAAATAGTCAATGCAAAGTGCCTTGTGGATCTCATGCATATACATAAGGCGGCTGTTGCAGCTCTCCACCAATGACATGGCGAGCATAGATCAAGGCAGATCAAGGAAGCGCAATTTCACAGAAGCAGAAATTCAGGTACCTGTGGGTGAGGTGGAGAAATGAAAGGAAGTGCTTTTGCAAAACAAATAAGAGAAAATCCACGGAGTGGCACAGTGATGCTGAAGCCGTCAATGTTGTGAATTCTTCAGAGAGATCTGTGGCGGATATGAAAAAAATGGTCCAATCGGGATTCGATCCCCAGACTCCACGGTGAAAGTCACGCGTGCTAACCAGTCATCCAAACAGAGATCTCCCCTGTACAAGTAGCCAGGGCGCATCAATCGGGTCACAGTGACAGGACACACACACTGTCACAGACGCATGACATTCTGTCTCAATCTGTCCCCCTGCTGTTATTCTGCATTCCGTATTCTGCGCTTCAGGCTGTGTGTGCGCACGTGTGTGTGTGCATGTGGGGGGTCTTGTTATGTGAAACGAAGCAGTACGAGTGATAATGCTGCAGGATTTCATAATTTTATCTTCTCAGCAGCAGCACTGCAGGTGCTCTCCATGTCCAACATGTGCGTAAGCCAGGTCCTTAGTCACCTTAAAAGTTGCGCACATTTTTCCGCTGAGTTTTCTTTCATTAATCTCAAAGTTTGCGTGGAAAGTTGCTTGCTTACGCAGTTTTCCGACCCCGTTTTGTGCGCAAGCAAGCTTGATAAATGAGGCTCCTGCTGATTAATACCAGGTGTGTTGAAGCAGGGACACACCTAAAGCTGGATACCAGCCCTCCAGGACCAGCACTGAGAACCTCTGACTCAAACCCATTGAGTTTATTTCCTGCTGCACAAGAACACCAGCAGTTATTTTAACCATGGGTGGAATGGAAATTAGGAAATAAATTAATGGATTTATTAAACAAGACAAATTGGAGAGTAGCAAAAAATGGCATGCTTGTAAGGAAAACATTGCTGCTGCCACTGAGAACATGTGAGCTCTTACAGCTGACGGACAGTAAATCATTCTCATCTGACGTGAATGTTTCCTGACCTTGCTGGGTGAGAGTATTACCTTGTTAGAGTTTACTCTCCCCTCGGAAAGTAGATTAGGACCAACAGCGCACCACCATCTGATGTGCTCAGAACTACAACCTTAGTACGACTCCACTTGATTTGATCATCTGTCTTTGGTGCTGATGGCCTTTTCACACCAACAGGCCTGAATGGGAGGACTTGATCTGAAAACAATGCCACTCACCATAAAGAGCTGTCCATGTCTGGTTGATGACATCTAAGCACACAGTCCCTGACCTGGAAAACCCGAGAAGAAAAAGGAGTTAGCAAAGCGGAGGAATCTGGTTCATCAAGCATAGCGTTCTAGACTCAGTGTTTCATCATCTCAGCAAAGGTTGTGAGTCAGAGAAACAAAAGGTTATCCTTGCTGTTTGAACAAATTGTGCACAGCCAGTTACAGAGCTTTGTAATTTTAGTAATGTTTTTAGGACCTCTGTAATGAAACAAATCCATCAAAAAGTGTTTAAAAGCCCCAAATACACAGCTATTATTTTTTATAAATGTCTTTGCTTTATGATCCTAGGAGCTAGGTTGTCTCAGGCTGGATGCCTGTGGTAGGGTCACACCCATGGCAAACAGGTCCTAGGTAAGGGGTTAGACAGAGTGCAACCCAAAGACCCCTTATGATGATTATGACAAATGGAAAAATTGTTCCCTCGCCCGAACGTGGGTCACAGGGGCCCATCTCTGGAGCCAGGTCTGGATGTGGGGCATGTTGGAGCGTGCCTGGCCGGGCACAGCCCGAAGGGTAAACGTTAGTCCACCTTCACATGGGCCAAAGGGGTCGGGTGCTATGTGAGATGGTGGCAGCCGAAGACGTGGACCGTGGCTGTCTGATCCTTGGCTACAGAAGCGGTCTCTCGGTACGTGGAGCATCACCTCTCTGGTGGGGAAAAAGCCTGAGTTGGTGTGTGAGGTTGAGAGCATGGCCCTGGAACCAGTTTCCAGAGTTACCACTCTGGATTTGCCCTCACTGAGAGGCACTGAGCAGGGGTGGGCATACTAGTTGCCCCCCATCTTGGTGCCTGTACATTGGGGTTTACCCCAGTGAATAAGGGCAGCCCCCCTCCACGTGTGTGTGTGTGTGTGTTTGCGTGCGTGCGTGCGTGTGTAAGGAGTCTTGACTGTGGTTTGTGCTGCAGTTCAGACTGCCCACCCTTTAGCAGTCCTTGGAGGAGGTGCTGGAGAGTGCTCCTTTCGGTGACTCCCTCTTTTTGCTGGGGGGCTTTAACACTCACATGGCCAATGACAGTGAGACTTTGAGGGGTGTGTTTGGGAGGAACGGACCCCCTGGCTCAAAACAGAGCAGTGTTTTGTTATTGGACTTCTGTGCTTGTCACATATTGTCCATGTGTCTTGGGACTTTGGGTCGGGCTCTCCGATCTGGTACTGTCACTGAGGTAGCTCCTTGGGTGGCAAGGCCGTGGGCGTGGATGAGATTCGCCCAGAGTTCCTTAAGTCTCTGGATGTTGTAGGGCTGTGTTGGCTGATGCGGCTCTGCAGCATCGCGTGGACATCAGACAATTCCACTGGACTGGCAGACTGGGGTGGTGGTGCCCCATTCAAAAAGGGAGTTCACAGGGTGTGTTTCAACTACAAGAGGATCACACTCCTGAGCCTCCCTGGTAAAGTCTAGTCAGGGGTTCTGGAGCGGAGGGTCCATCAGACAGTCGAACCTCTGATTTAGGAGAAGCAATGTGGTTTTTGTTTTGGCCTAAGTGGAAGAGTTCAGGTATCTCGGGGTCCTACTCATTTGCTATATTTCAAATTTGGAACACAAGAGAATTTTCAAACTCTTGACAAGTAACAGTGCATCTGCAGCCATTTTTACAAAAACAATGACGTCAATTTGCCACGCCATGGCGGCATCAGGGAGCCTTAGGTCATTTATAAGAGATGGGACAGTGGTGGTAATATGGCGCATTTGTGTCCTTTTTATAAAAAATTAAGCGATGGCACCATAAAGAGGTTATGGAGGCTGTCTCTGCGTTGCCGTGGACTGCCGTTTATCTTGGACCTAACTTGCTTTTTATTGCGACAGAAGCCGCGATCGTTATGTTTTTTTTAACAAGCCGCTCCTAAAGGTGTCTGTCTCCACCAGTCCCTGTGGAGTCTCTGGTGATCTGAGCTCCAGCTCTAATGAAGAAAAGCTCTAGGAGCGCTGCTGTGCTCCAGTTTACCGTCTCAGCTGACTTTGTTCAAAGATCAAAACTTACTGCTTGTGTTTATTTTATTTTCAATATATTTGCCGGCCGGAGCTCGGCATTAACTCCCCACATCATGACGCCTCCTTCTGTTGCGCCATGGCGCAATAGCCGTTTATAAGACAAATCTTTACCGTAATATTCTTACTAAGCGAGACGGAACAAAAGCCACAAAGATCGAGCCGACATGAAGCATTTATAACACGATTGCAGTAATATAACGCAGATTTGTCGGCATGGTGTGTGTCTTTTAAAAAGGGCTTATTTCACCAGTCACCTGGACACATGTGGAGGTCATCATAACCAAAACCAACCCTCTTCATGCCAAACAGTCAACACAAAACACCTCGTTAATGTTTCATACAAATAAGCTTTTTACAGTGAAACATGGCCACAGCTGAAAGTGAAAACAGCAAAAGCACCTAAACTGACACCAAACCAGAGAGTATACGAGCCAGGAAATTTTTACTTATCCTGGACAATCGTTGAATAAAGTAAGCAGGGTATCTGCAGATTTAAGGGAGCCAAATTTAAGACTTTTTAAGACCTTTTTTAAGGCCACTTTGACCAAATTTAAGCTATTTTAAAAATTAAATTTAAGCTATAATTTCCAGCTATTGCCTGGAACCGGTGCTAACCACGTCGCGAACGTGGGATTAGCCATCCAGTTACCATTAAACTTGCCCTTTCCCATGGCGCAAGCTCCCACTAGCTTAACCAGCTAATGTGCTCATCTAAAAAAAATAGCCCCCTTTCACAACATCATACACAAAAAATGCTGAACACTAACTAGAAATTCACGGAATTTTTATAGAAATAAAAGAATCTTGTTTATTGGGTCTTTGGTCATTTAAGACCTTTGGAAACTGGATTTAAGGATTATTTGTCATTTTTAAGGACTTTTAAGGCCTTAAATTAGGAAAAGCTAATTTAAGACTTTTTAAGGACCCGCGGATACCCTGAGTAAGTTGGTCATTCAAGTATTAATACCTTGGAATAAATTCTGATTAAAACTGATAATAAAATCTATAAGGAATCGTTAAATTTACTTGCTTACATTATTTTTAAGCATTTTTCTTGAATGTGAACAATAAACTTCACATTCTTATACTACACACCAACATTGTTTATAATACTTTGAGGAAAAAAACTGTTTAGAATAATATTTAGTATGCGGTCTAGAAGTAACCTGGTATGAAACAAAATCTCTACCCATGGATGTGGTTAAAAAGCCAGTGGCTAAAACAGACTTACGCTTCGTCAATGTTGGGATGAAAAATCTTGTTCATGAATCCTAAAATAAAAAGCACAGAAGAATGAGTGTACATGAAAAGTAAATCCGGTCTAAAGGCCAGAACGTGCGACGACAGAGCTACCTATCGACGGCGATTTGAACGGGTATTTATCAGGAAGATCTACTCTCACTTTCCACACACCCCCTTCATACGGTGCTGCAGACAAAAAGAGGACACAAAAGTCACAAAGGAACACAGAAGCTTTTATTTGACTTAATATCATCCTCCTGATCCTCGTGCACTCTGATGGAATTAGGAGTTGTACCCAATTACCATCGCTAAAGCTGAGCCGTGCACCTCCAATCTCTCATTTCATGCATTAATGCCTCTCGGCCCTGGAGAATTATTTACCTTCAAATCTCCTCAAATAATTTACGGACATCAAAGGGGAAGGAGAGTGAAGTTCAGTGAGTGTGCTGCTCTCCCAGAATAGCTGTAACAAGACCCTGATGTACCGAAAGTGAGCAGCAGCACACAGATGACAGTGGAGCGTGTACTACGTCAACACGCGTGTGCGCGCACAACAGAATCACTTGTTTGATGGTTTTGAAGAGTCATGAATGCGATTAAACACCTTCTTCCTCTTTTACTGCAGTGGAAGCAGATCATGGGGGTGGTTTGACTAACAGCACACAAAAGAAGTATTTCCTGCTGATGATGCTGCGACTCTTCTTCGTTTTATGCTTTATAACCTCAGGCCTGCTTTCAATCCATTCTACATTCCTACCCAGATGTGGAGAAGTGCTATAAATTTCAGCACGACACAAGAATGGATACCACTTTATGGAAATTCAGCTAACCCCCCCAGTTACCAAGAGTAAAATGAATCTAATTTATACATTTGCTTGATCAAAGGAATGAAACCAGAGAGAAGTACTTACTTCCTTGTGGTCCATAAAACTTCACTACAAATTCATTAAGTCCACTGAGGATGGTGACTTCATGTTTGCTCTCAATGCTGGAAGGTGGTTAAGAAAAATGGCCTCAGAAAACACACACACACACACACACACACACAGTTGAAGTGTTTTATCAGAAAGCACAGATGCATATAGAGTCTGACACTTTTCTCCCCTTCAACCTTTTATATAAAGGTCCTTAGTAAAAGACTGCAGTCAGAATGATGCTACAGGGTTTTGAAATATTAAAAAGAAAACCCTGAAATAATTTGGTTTTAACACCTAACCGAATTCTGACAGTGCTGTTGGCCTCTAAAGGTGTTTAACACTGAAAAAACATTATTTATTTATTATTTCCAATTATAATCAGTCATTCTGAGTTTTTCTGTGCAGGCTGAACATAAAAAAAGTCTCTAATCCTACTTCCTGCGTTAGCGTCTAATAAAACATAGATGACGAAACGCTACGATGTGAAAAGCCAGACAGATCTATGTCACAGTCACTTAACATTCATGGGCTCACCCATCTTGACTCGCAACGGGAAATGCTGTAGAGTGTAGGAAACAGCAGAGAACGTCTCAGCTAATAGAAGCTAACCGTTAGCATTAACAACAACACCACACAGCAGAACTCCTTCAGGCTTGAGTTATTTATGGCGATATTGTTGCAAAGAGTCAGTGGTAGAGTCACATTGCTGTTAGCCAATCCAAGGAGAGATGTCCAAATATCAGGAAATAAGAGTCCAAATCCTGTCGTCTGAAGCTACTTTGTCCTCTGGCTGACTTCTACTTCCTGAAACAGGCACATCTAGTCACTGCAAATGTATTGATTCAATGAGTTAACCACATTTTTAATAGGGTTGCTGCCATAAAAACTGCCAAAATACCAGCATTTGTCATGCATTTAACAGGTTTGAACAGAAAACCTATAGTTGTACACAAATCATAACAAACTGGAACTAAGGTTACAGAAAAATAATTTGTACACCATTCTAGACATGTGAAAAACATATGCACACTCAACTTATCCTATATTCACAATACAGTTCAAGATGTTTGTTTATTAGAGCAAGAGGGACTAAAAACAAAGGAGAATACAGGAGGATGTAAACGTGCATGAGGAAATTAGGAACAACACGAGACTGAACAGAACACATCAACATAAGGTTCAAAAGGTTAGCGACCCAGCAGCAGCTTGCTTTCCAGTTCTGATTGAGACTGTATCCATTAAACAATCTAACAGACTGACACTAAAGGGTTAAATCAAACTGGAAGCTATTTTAGAATCTGGTTGAGTCTGCTAAGAACTGAATGAGTCTCTGACTTTGGCAGGGAAGTATATCATTGCCAGACAGGAGTGGAAGCTCTCTGCTCCGACTTGAGCCGTTCTGCAGCTCTTCAGCTCTTCAGAGATACGTGCAGAGAAGAATGAATCAACAGCTCTCAAAGACAAAACATCTACAACTCAAGGGAAGCCTCCTACCAAGTCACACTACATGCACGGTCTTTACACAGAATGTTAGCATGTTAAAAACATAAAACCAAAAGTGAAACCACAGGTTTGTGAGCAAATGAGCTTACAAAAGAGAAGGCAGCAGAGCTGGTAAAGGGGGATGGGATGGCCTCTGTGTTCTACTACTGAAGATAGCAGTGACATATTAGTGGGATAAGCCATTAATGGGGTTGAACCAGCACTAAAAATGCTGCAGGCTGTGTATGTATACACACACATCTCAACACTAATACTAATGATACGATTTTGACAAATACCAGGGCTATAAACTCCTGACATCTAAACCAGGTTTTATTGATGTTCCAGGTTAAAATTATTTGCCACACGTTCTAACCTCACCCTTTAATTAGCCAAATTAATCTGACCTCAAACATAACCTGTTTGTTGAGTGTCTACTTCTTCTTTTTAACATGGCACAATAGTCTGACTCAGACAGGGAGGCTTGAGGCATTCATTCACCAAGTGAGTAACAAGTCCCTGTCCAGAAAAGGAAAACTTCATTACACTACAAAAAAGGAATCTGACAAGTCTGTCAGAAAAAAATGAGTCGTGGTGGAGCTCGTGACTTTTTATGAAACTGGGATGGACCGAGACTACACTCATTCAACTGTCCAAAAACAAATAAATAAGTGGGTGTTGAAAAAAGAAAACTAACCGAGCAGGACATGGAGGTATACTCAATCCGTGGTCTTTAACTAAGATAAAACACTTCCAAAGATGGCTTCCAAACACTTAAGAATCAAGCTAAAAGAGAAAATAAGGTGGAACAAAATAAACACAAAAAAAAATCTCTACATTCTTATTATAATATCCATCTATCCTCCTCCTTGGATTAGTATAATCATAATCTGTGGACAGCACCAGGTTAAAATCCTTTCACACGCACGCACGCACGCACACACACACACACACACATAATCTGATACAATCAATCCAAAGGAGCACACACATCTTCAGTGCAAGTAGGGTCTGATAATATAGCATAACAATGTAATCACACTCTAGGAGGCTCTAACACAGAAATAAAAACCAACTGTCTTGTTTAAAACTAAACAAACAAAAACATCAAGCTGGTCCTGAAATAATTTTAATGTTCTGGATTCTCAAGTGCAAAAATACTCAGTAAATAGCATTTGCAGTTGTGGTGTAGACATGACTTGTTTTCTTTCTGGTCCACTCAGGCCACTGTCCCCGTGTGATCCCAGGATCAAAATATCACATCCCGTCCCAACGCTTTCCAAGTATGGAAAACAAACATGATGGAGAATCACGAGCAGCTCCCTGTCAAACAATGTGGTGTCACACACGCAAACGTTTCCATCTCGGAGACGGGTGTTTGTTGATCTGGTAGGAGGGTAGCACTCACAGCACTTTCCTATTCAGCATTAAGACGGTTTAGCCTCGCTCCTTTTATTAGGAATTCCCTCACATTACGATGGAATAATTTTAACAAAAACAAAAATTATATTTCATGTTTGATCAAACGCTTCTAAATAAGCCACAACAAAAAAGTGAGGTGGAATGTACTTAATATTTCCATTAAAGTGTTTTTAGAAAAGAAAAAAGGCTCTAGAAAAGTCCCTCACAGAAAAAACTTGTTATGAAGAGATGAGAAAATCTGAAGCACAGCTCTGTTCCACTCCACCCCATAGAAAACTGTAGAAGAATGTAAAATGAAAAGCTTTGCAGATGAAAGGCAGGAAGCACAGCAGCTAACCTGGGGGGGGGGGGGGTATAAGGCTTCCTCCACAGAGACATATAAAGTAGTAAAGTAAAACTAATTCTAAAACTAAAACTAATGCTTGCTGGTTAGATTATATCAGAAAACAACACTTCAGTCAACTGTTCTTCGCTGCAGTGGCTTTTAGGGCTAAAGGGGCCTTAGAACAACATTTTTTCTTCACAATTGGAAACTGTTCTTTGAGCTTCTAAATATAACATTTAAAATGTTGTTGGGGCTTAAAAATGGCCCAGGAGCCCTGATAAATGGCCCAACACAACCCCACAATAAGGCCCTATGGACAGACTGGTTTCCCTGCCCACTCGGCCAGTACATGAATATTGAATGAGCTGCGTGCCGATTGGCTGGTTTAGCCTGACGCTGCCTAAAGCTAGAACTCTGTATACAGCTGTGCACAATATCCGGATAACTCAACAGGCAAGCTAAGGATCTATCTGCACCAGCATACCTAGCATTCCTTCAAAGTCTGGACATTCCCAGTAGATACTGGAACGTTACATTTGGGCTCTGACACTCTTCATTGTTTTCCTCTCGTACAACAACGGCAATAAGAGCCGTTTGAGCTAGCGTTAGCAGTAGCTCAGGCTAGTGTTGTTCTGCAGTTAGCATTACTGCCAACAACATTTCTATACTGCTAGTGTTGAAATCTAAGTGGGCTAGAATTCTGATCATGTGTTTTACCAACTTGGCTCATTTCTCCTTAGCCATTAAAAAGCAATCACTAACTCGACAAAGACGTTTGGTCTGGTATATTAGACATCACAAGATTCTTATGTCCAAGGTTTTAAACTCTATGACAGCCAAAAGGCAATTATTTCTACATATTTAATTATGAGTTAAGAAGGTTTACAGTTAGAAATCTCTTCTAGAGCACCCCACACACAGATCCTGTTTCATCTAAAGTCTAATCCCGTATTTAAATGTGGCTGTTTCAACTTTGTGCATAACCGCGCTGCACAGAGCAAAGTAGATTACTGCGTGACCTCCACTGCACACTGCTGCATGAAAACAGAGGCAGCAGGAGCAGCACAGTGCCCGTCCTGCCACAGCAAGCAAAGAGCGAGCCGGAGCTGTGAGGGTGAGATTAAATCAGCTCAACACCAAACACTTCCTCACTGACCCACTCCTCTGTTTTCAGCCTCTCATACTGAATCTGACACATTTTCCAAGCAGGCAACCTTTCCATCTCTGATGGTGAGAGGAATACCACTCAGTGTAAACATTGCTGTTCTTTACTCGTAAATCCCAGAAAGCAGTCAGGTCCTCACTGATTCTCCAGTACATCACAGGAAAACGTACAGCTGAATCGAAAAGGCTTTTAACATCTCGAGTAGGGCTGCAGCTATCGAATATTTTTGTAATCGAGTACTCTATCGAATATTTTTTTCGATTAATCGAGTACTCTAATAAATTACCCTTTTGTATTTGTAAACCATTATATCAAATAGCATGTTATAATTATGAAAGACCTGTTAAAATGAGCAAGCAATTGCCAGTTATTCTTCAAGTTTTATTCAAAATTAGTTTTCAAAACTTCAGCACTTCAACTTTACTTCACAGTAAACAAATGGCTGTGCAAAAAATAAGTAAACAACCTGAGCCGATTTTCCCCTCGTGCGAGAATCTGCTAGCCTGCAAGCCAGAGGATAACTGTTGAAGTAGCGCTGCGGGCGGCTGCGGCCCAAACAGAACCAGAACCGCTCACGGTGCATGCGCAAACAGCTCGCCGGCTGTTTACCTATTAACACACGTCCGTTTTAATTTCAACACGTTTTTACTCACACAATAACAAGGATTGTCGAGAAA